CCATCAAGATTTTCTTCTTGTTTGACCTTGCCCAGAGCTCAATTGCACACAACACAATCCGCTGCTTGACTAGTACTTGAAAACAACCAGCACCAGCACCAGCACCAGCCATGCTCAGCGCGTGGAGATACGACTCGGACACAAAGGAGGTCGTCGTCCCGCGGTCCTACGACCCTGCCAACGGCCGATCTAGCAAAATCCAAGCCTGCAAAATCTGCCGCGAGAAAAAGGTACGTCTGCCCCTGCCCTCCCCGACTCAGGCATCCCGCCCAAAGGTGCTGAGAAAATTGTCCTGACGCTTGACTCTTCAGACCCGCTGCGACGGCGACGGCTACAAAGCCTGCAATCGATGCCGCTGCAAAGGCCTCACCTGCGAATACACAAGCTGCGGCAGGTCCAAGAGGGCGCCGCGCCTCTCCAAGTCGAGCTCCTCGAGCCCGGGCTCGTCCTCGTCGTCGATATGCAAGCCCCGTCCCCAGCCTGGCCGAAAACACAGCCTTGTCCGCGCGAGCGCTGCCAGCAGCAGCGGCAGCAGCAGCAGCGCCGACGACGATTCCAGCGACACCCTCTCGGACAAGACTGTATCGCCGGTGCCGTGGCAAACGGGGCCGCAGGACGTGTTTGACGCCGCGGCTGCGAGCGCCGCGGCCAACTTCGCCATTGACCCCCTGCTGCTGCAGCACGTTCACGAGAGTGCCCAGCACTACGCGGGGCTGGAGCATTATGCCGGCGACGAGTTCCTGTTCGGCGTGGACGTCGATATGCAGTGTCCCGTTACGGGGACTGACATGTATCATGACATGCATGGAGACGCATTTCATGTACCCTTGGGGAATGGGGATGACGAGAGTCTATGGCAATGTGGACTGAGATGGTTGCCGAATGGACCGGCATGATAACACTTTGGATGTTCATGTTGCGGGCGAGTCCGGGATACACTGATAGATGGTGAAACGCAAGATTGATAGATGTATTAGAAATATTATGAGCTATTTTCAACTATTATTATTAATGAGATTTGTTCACGTCAGATTTTGGCCGTGTGACCATTTTTCTTTATATGTGAGTTTTTGTTCCCCCTTGCCCAATCTCCCAGGAAATCATACACCCAGTCAACTTTGCTTACACGGCCTCCTCCCATTGGTGTATGACGTGAGCCTCTCCCAAAGTCTCCTTCAGCGCGTCCACCAGGTCGTCGACTGTAGACAGGAAGGTCACGTAGCACGATACGGCAACACAATATCTCCTGTAGTCCTCGCTCTTAATAAGATCAATATTCAACTCGGCATGCTCATGCTGGGTATACCACGCCACAAAACAGCTGCGCACCAGTGGCGCTGGTAGTCTCTCCGGCAGTGGCGCACCCGTCCGCAAGGACGATTCGATAATCGTCAAGACGGACATGACATTCCCAACAACGCCGTCGTCAATCACGCCCACCGTCTTGGTGAGACGATCTTGCAGGCGTTTCGGCAATGTTGATGACAGAACCAGCAGCTTACCCAGGCATTGATTCATCCTGCTGCAGTGCTCCCTCGTGGTGAACAAAACCTTTTGGTCAAACGGCGTGGAGCTGACTTCCACCTTCAGCAGGCTAATAGCGTCGGTGAGATCCAGAAGCGTTTCCGAGACCTTGAGGGTGATTTTCTCAGCTGCGGCCGCGGCACCGAGGTTCTGTCCCTCGCGATCTGACTGGCTCCATTGTGATACGAGTAGGGCATAGTGGTCGGTGAGAGACCGAACAGTGTTGGCAAGCGTTTTGCAGACGTACCGGGTCGCCGAGGGAGGCCGGGGGAAGATTTGGACAATGAGGGCGGCCGCGAGACCGACGAGCACCGTGACGAGGCGTCTCCAGAACGCCACGTACCCGACGCCAGGCAGTCCGTACTGCGTGATGTGATTCTGGTCCCAGCTGAATCCGATAATCAGCACAAACGTTGAGGCAGTCATGATGCTGGCTTGGGCGAACGCTGGTGGCAGGTAGAGACGCCACCACATGAGGATGAATGAGACGACCGCAGTGGTGGCCCCGAGGCCGTATGGATTGCCGATGCCGTTGCCCGAACCTGCATACCAAGCTGCCAGGGCCAGGGCGCCGCCGAGAATGGTGCCTAGTCCTCGGGATACGAGGGAAAAGGTAAAGTCGGCCATGTACATGAGGAGGCACGTCTGTGCCATAATCACAGCCCAGATACCCTTCTCGCGGTAAAAGAAGCCAGCCGTGTTCGGGAGCACAGCCGGAACGGACAGAGCAACGGTCACAATGACCATGCGCAGAGCGTACATGCCTCCGGGGTTGGTAAGCCATTTGTATGTGCCAATCACCGCTCTCGTGATAAGTCCCCTTTGCTTCCTGGGCGCAGAATTGCCTTTGCGAACAAGACGCAGCCGCCTGTGCGTCTCCTCGGCCTGTTCTAAAATATCGTCAGGGTCTTCAGCGGGCACCGTAGAAGCGCCGGCAACCGGAGCTGCTACGCGGCCACTAAATAGCCAAGAAAACGCGTAACGAACCCGAGACGGGGCCCAAACGCGTGTTGTAGTTCGCAGTTCAAGAAGCTCCATGATGTAGTCCACAATAGCCTCCGTAGTAGCTGCCGTGGCAACAATGCGCTCCTCGAGCACCATGGAGAGAACAATACCGTTGAGAGACAGAGGGTTGGCGTCCTTTCGATTCTTCAACTGGCCTTGCTCGTCGAACAAGTCAGCATGGGCACCAACTACTGCATCATTAGTATTGATAACACACGAATCTCGGACAGACTGCAGCTCAGCCCGGAGCCCGGCCAGCTCTTCCTTGAGGCCGTCGAGCCGCTTCGTACGCGCGGTGCCAAGGTACCATCTTCCCGTGTTTATGATGTGGACTGTGTCCGCGGCGGCCTTGATAGCCCGCGAGTTGACTCGAAGGATTTCGGCTGTCGTATCCTTGAGCGTCTCTAGCAATCCGTGGCGGATGGAGCTTTGTTCCGGGCTTTTCAAGGCGTCAACGAGACCAGTGTCGAACGAAGTCTTTTCCTGGTCGCGAGCCTCCTTGTCGCTGGCATCGTCGGAGTCTTGTGCAGTGGGTGTCGGTCGAGCCATTCCAAGCCTTTCAGCCCTGGCAGCCGCTGACACGCGCGTGATGTGAAAATCCAAGAGAAAAACACCGGCGGCAATGGCGTCGCGGACCCGTCCCTGTAAACATTTGACGTCGTCGGCGTTCCACCTGCCCCGTGAAAGGTCCAGTGGAAGAAAGGCAAGCCCCGGCTCCATAGCCTTGAAGAGACTGATGATGGCGCCTTTGGATGCTCTTAATTGTGCATCATCCAACGTTTCATCGCCAGCAAAGTACCGCCGTGTCGAGTCCACGGGCGCTTCGAGCATACGGATCAACTGTTCCATTTGTCCCAAAACCACATACGACGTCGACTGGGGGAAAACAAAGAGGCAACACACTGCCCCCAAGCCAATCCCGATGGCTCCCGGTTTCACAAACACCTGGGCGAGCTTGGAATTGAATCTGGTCAGAATCGGGCCGGTCAGCAAGAAGATGTCGATGACAATGGTGCCGAACAGCTGCAACAAAATCATCTTGCCATTGGCATACCGCAGCCGGGCAAGAGCATAGATGAAGACGCAACACATGACGAAGTAAATGACGACCACGCGGGCGTCAAGCATGAAGCCGTCGTAGACGAGCTTCTGGACGACGGCGGCGGGCGGCTGGCCGGTCTGATTGGCAAGGATGCCGGCCTGCTGCTGGAGAGATTGCAAACGGGCCTGGGTCTCCTCGTCCGGCCGCACGGCCAGTGCCGCCTTCATGGACAAGAGGCCCCAAGCCCAAGCCAGGCACATGCCCAGGAGCAGCGACAGCGAGGCGAGCAGGTAGACCATCAGAATGCCCGCCGGCGGAACAATATACAGGACGATGGCGCCGAAGAAGGTGGCGATGCCGATGTTCTGCAGCACGGGGTCGATGAAGATGAGAATCGTGGCAACCCACACCGCGACCCAACAGCGGAAAGCGACCTTGAGGTCGTTGGCGTTGAAGTGATTCAGCCATCCCGGCAGCCTTGATCGAGTCGGTCGGCCAAGTTGCTGTTTCCGCTCCGCAACAGCCTCGTCAATGGCCTTGTCGGGGCCCGGCTGGCTGCCCGGCGAGTCGGCAGCAGACATGGCGCGCTGAATTGCAGAGGCGGCCGTCGCGGCGTGCTTGCGAGGGGTGGTTTGTGGCTGTTGTGATGTCAAATGTGCCCGAGATCAGCCGCGTTGAAGATGGTGTCGTTTTGCTTTTCTTTTTTTTGTGGACCAACCAGATTGGGTAACGATTATGGTCACTTGGCTTGTCGACTAGCGCACTTGGGCATAGTTGCCCGTGACGGTTACCTAGGTAGTTCCTTCCTTTCGGGTAGCCAGTAGCCTTGAGACTCAGAGAAAACTTGGGGTGAATCGACAATTGAATCGAGGGCGAAGGGGAAAAAAAAAGAGAAAAGAAACAAAAAGCACACACGCAAGGAAAGCCGCGGACTGTCGTCAAAGCAAGCATAAAAGGAGAACAGCCTCGGCGTCGGGAGAGTCTCCGGAGCCACCGACGCCAAAAAAGCCTCCCGACCTGCAGGGACGGGAAAAATCTCGAGCAGCCGATCCTTGTGGATAACCCAGCTCAATTAAGATGGGGAGCTGGCCAGGGCTAGCTCCAGTGGCTTGCTTCAGCAGGGGACAGTTAACATTGAAATGACGGGTGTCTGGTCGCATGGGATGATACGGACTAGTGGGATTATATATATATATATACGGAAATCCTATTAAATAATATAAATATTAATTGATTTGGTTGGTGTTTCCCTCTTAAGGTAAATGATAATACAAGCATGATACAAAATAATATAAATATACATATCAACAGATATCCTTATATTTTCAAGGCCAGAATCCGCAGTCCCATCACACGTAGCCTTCAGCTCACAACGCAATGGGCCAAGGTAGGGCCTGGCCAGATCAAAGTAGACTTCCGTTCGTCTTTTTCACGAGTCTTCCGCAAACGCCTCTCTCACGCTGGCCAGGTACTCTTTCTTATCTCCGAGCTTCTTGTCTATCAAACCCTGCGCGCCAAATCCCCAATACCAATAAAAGACAGTATCGAATATTTGCTTATCAGGATGCTCCTTGTTAAATAGTGGCTGGATGTGCCTATTGAACAGCGTGTACATGCCCTTTGGTATGCCGACGGCGTGAAAGTACCAAAAGCTCCCTCTTGCCCACATGTCACGCTGAAGTGGGACCTGGACGACGGTATCGTTGCGCTTCCTCTCCTCGGCTTCGTAAATTGCCCAGTATTCTTCCAGTACGGCCTCATAGTCGGTAATGGCAGCCTGGTCCACGAAACTGTCGACTGATACCCTTGACGAGAGCCAGTATGGGGGAAGCTGCATTTCCAAAGGCGCGGTATGCGCCCACTCAAGATCGATAATTGTCTCAATATTCCAATCTTGGTCAACAAAGATGTTTTGCTGGTGTAAATCTGTCAGGTGAAGGAAGAATGGTCCGTCGCGATGCTCTGGACGGATGAAGTGGTGCATGGTGGCGCGCAGGGCGGTAAGCGCAGCGAGTTGTCTCTCGCCATCCTCTTGATCATGGACTGCGTTGGGCTGATGACGAATTTTATTATCCTGGAAGGAGAGAAGATCGGAGAGGTACGATTCCACTTGGGCGTATGTACGATGGCGCGGGATGCCGGTCGGAATGCCCTCGTTCTCCAGCATCTGAAAATAGAGGCTAAGCGGCCGGTTGGACAAGGCGATAGATGCGTCCGGCTGAAGCTTCAACGATCCGATGCGCGCCAAGGGAACCGAATTTAGCGAGAGTGATATACGAGCAAGGCTGCGGAACAAGCGGTCTCGGTACGCCTTGTCTTGGAAGCGATCTAGCCACGACCAGGCTAGTTTTTCGCCGCACGCTTGGCTTATAATCAAAAAGCCAGGATTGATTGAGTGGCGAGTTTTCCGCTTGACATAATGGACAGGTACCGGGCGCCCGAGTAGTAAGCAAGCAAATCGCTTCAACGCCCACCAGGTTCGCTCCCAGATGGGTGTGCGGAGGGGATGTGAGAACTATCAATTGTTAGTCCTGGAGGACAGGAGCGTAATTGGTTAGCCAGGCTATGATTGGGCTTCATTGTTTTACCGCTGACCCGTCTGGCAGCCCAAAGGCGTGCAATTCGGGGATTGGGATATCGGGACAATTTTGACGCAGCCAGATATAGGTGGCAATCTCGGTCCGGAGCTTTTCTTCAACGTTGCCCGGGCACCGGTCTTCGCCAAGGCGATACGGGAATGGGATACGCATGAAGACAGACCAGCCGGCTGCAATATGGATTGGAAGGACGACGTTGAAGGAGCCAGATTGCCAGACCTCCCGGGCGCCCAGGTGACAATTCCGGACGCCTAGGCAGTGCCGAACTGTTGCCTCGATAACATGCTGCTGTTCTTCAAGGGATGTTAGGAATGCCTCTTTTAGAGCTGGGTAGTGGATTGGAACCAGAGCATTGTCGTCGCCGGCAAGAGCTCTTTGCAGCGATTGCGAGCCAGATGGGTTGGACCCGGAGCTGTGTGACTGCGACTGATCGGAGCCAAGCTCACGTGGCGGCGTAGGATGCAGCTTATCAGTGAGATTGTGTGGAATCGCCGAGGCTGGCATGGCGGAGGTGTTGCTGCATTGTGAGGGTTAGTGTGAGGGAGTTGGTTGTGTATCATTGGCACTCAGCTCATGTACTTAAGTACGTGACCGTTGTGACGCGTTGGGCGAAGATTGTCCATGTCAGGAGTCAGGAGTCAGGAGTCGTGACCCGCATAATTGAATATACATGTTACATGTATCGGGGCTCCAGGCGGCACGCCAGGACGCTCAACCGCCTTCGATCCAATTGGCATTACTTGAATGTATTGCAAGACTGTTTCTTTTTGCCTTCAATGTTGTATTTAATAGAACCCCACGACCGGGACACTGCGGCGCGCGTGATATAACCAAGCGGAATCACCTGTCAAAACCTCCACAATAGCGTACGTTTTTGATTCAAATAGCATTGACATGTCTATGGGCTGATTCCTGGCTGGGCATTGACCGCATTCCAGCTCTTGACACCTCTCAATTCGGTTTTCCTGAAGCTTCTGCCGTAGCCCGGATCCAAGTCTCCCTGTTCTCGAGGCCCCCGAGCCACTCGTCTACGTTGGGACACTTTTCAAACGTCAAGTGGTAACCAAACGCCTTCATCGCCGACGCGTTGGGCAGATGAAACAAGTCCGTCAGGAAAATGGTGTCTGCCCCTAGATATTTTTTCTTGGCCAGGATTGCATTGTACTCTGACTATACGTTATCCAAGTCAGTCCCGGCCTGGGCAACTTTGGCCACGTCAGGCCCCCCGAGGCTTTTTATTCTTTGCTCATTTTTTCCATCGACATGTCATGGCAAGGAAGCAAGCCCATCTAGGATCCCACAATGAACCTACTTTTTAATAGGGAGTTCTGTTTCAATTATCTCGGCCGCAGCGGCAAAATAGTTTTGCTCAATGGAGCAAGCTTGTTCGAAGCAGCCATAGACTTTTCGATGGCCCTCATGCAGCCACTTGGCCACCAGACAACTGCAAGGAACGGAGGCATTGAGAGGCCTGCAGCCGTCAAATATTATTTGACATCCATTTTCCCCGCCCGTCAATGGCCATCAGTATAGGATTTTGAGTCCTGTTCGAGTTAGGAGGGACTAGAAATGTTGGCATGGACAAGGAGATTCTCGTCAGCATACGTCATGTCTGCCTATCTTTGGTCTCCTGGAGGTTTAGTTCTTCTCCTTGTCCACAATTGCCTCATCCCAGCCGCCGGAGTCTTTGTTCCTGCCATCGTTTTGTTACACTTTACATGTGGTGATGATCGGCGTTGCCAAACTCCTTGTAATGGTCTGTTCTCGGGTACCTTGGCCTGGACCTCACGTCTGGAATCTGATCTCGCGCCACGCAATTTTGACCGGGAGCACCCCGGATCTATATACACATCTGCAACTGCCGACATTTCTAGAATCAGCTTGAATGACTGGCCCCCTCTTCCGCTGATCTGCTTCCTTGCACTGGCCTCCTCACCGCCAATGCAGATGCCTTTTTTGTGACCAACATGGGTTCTCTATTGGTTGGTCCGGACAAGGAAACCGATCTGGATCAAGACAACCTTGTTCTCCGACACTTTGCCACAAAAAGCAACAGCTGACGATGCCACCGACAGATGAGGCAGGTTGGTCGAAACGAGTTGTACAATGTCTTGGTTCGACATGGCATGGTGAGAAGAGCGATTGCGTGGGTTAAACGCACCTCTGGCCCCTATTCGTGCACTTGAAGCATAGAGTATATGAACAAGCGCAGTGCGTGCTGGGCGCCCCATGACTCGTTTGACCAGTCGTTTCTGCTCTTGGCACGCTACTCAAATCTCATGACAGTCATGGCCCATGGATAGTCATTGCCAAGCAAGCGGCTTCTACAAGACTTGCAACGACGCAGCAAGGCTATACAGCCTCCTTGACAGACGGAGCGGAGCCTTTCAGCTTGTATCAGCAGCCTGCTCCTGTCCAAGTATACCAGTCCCAAATCACAACAAGCCTTCACAATCAAAGCCAAGCAGCGGATGCACGGGCGTCCATCTCGTCTTACTCGACCCGGACCTCCGCGGCCCGGACCGAAACCCGGCAAGCCAGCAGCCGCCAGAGCCGAGGGATAAAAGTCCACAAAAACCCAAAACGCATGACTATTCGGGCATAAAAAAAAAGCCCAATATCGCAACCAAGAGTGCACATCCAACAATGCGGCAGCACTAACGCCCATGGCGGCCCAACCACGCATCGCCCTGCCGCGATTAAAAACAAAAAAATGCCTCATGACGACACCTCACCACCCAAGCCGGCCACGCACACCAGTTGACCAGCAGTTTTCGCACTCCGCATACAGCGGGCGCCGTGTGACCCCAGCAGCAGCGGCTACCTCGCCGGCTGCCACGTCACGGGCACAAGCACAAAACAGAGGTGCGGCACACCATCAGACGACTAGGCCCGTCCTCCGGGCACGACACGGCACAGTTGACAGTTCCCTCCATCTCTGCGGGCGGAGAAACACAAACGCCCATTCGAAGTCACGGCTTCACCAGCGAGGCCTAGGCTAGGCTGGGCTGTAGAGTCTAGACAAGACGTCACGGAGCAAGCGCCTCAGAGCGGCCATGGCACGGGTCAACGAAATGAGTTCTGTATTGACAAGTACGTAGTACGGTGTACCCCTAGGACTCAAAGCGCCGAGTTTATCAGTCCCACGCCTGCGCTTGGAATGTACCCGAGCCTCCCATCCAGCTCGCTACACCACTTGTCGTCGTCGGCTTTGTGGGCAGGAGCACGCCGGGCTTCTAGTTGGCGGCGCGCGGTCGCGGGCTCGTCTCGGAGGCACTTAGTGCTGCGCGTCGGGGGAGGGAACAAGGTCAGCCGTCGCGTCTGGGTAATAGCCGGACGGGGGACAGGGCAAAAACTTACGCCGCAGCTGGAGCAGGAGCATCCGTCGCAGGAGCCGGAGCAGGAGCAGGTGGAGCAGTTGCTATAGACTTGTTAGACGTCTTGCATCGCCAGTGACGGTTTTGGTGTTGAGGACACCGGGACGAGACGAGATGCGTCAAGTGCCTACCAGGGAGCCATTGTGAAATGATTTAAAAAAAGTAGTGGTTTCTCGTTGAGAAGATGGTTTGTAGTTGTGATACTGAAGCTTTTGTCTTGGTTGTTTACTGATACAGAAGAAGGGGGAGAAAGACCTGCATCTTGTCGGATCCTGAAGCCTCTACTTATACTTTTTTTCTTCCTCTTCTTCTTCTTCTTGATCCTTCCCCTTTCCCCCCCTTCTCGGCCTTGCCAACCCTTTCCCGCACGGAGCATATGCGCCAAGCTACGAACTACAAGTTGGAGACATCTCGCGACGGGAGACGACGGCTGCTTCAACCCCCCACTCTGGCAAGGTTGAGTGAGGGTGCAGCTCACCGAACCAGAAATGCTACCTGCTGCAATATCGGGTCATGGCTGGTCTGATGCTCCCTCAGCTGCAAGCGTGCGGGGATTATTTTTCCTGTACGGAGTACGGGGAGGCACCGACCACGTTCCATCCAAGTACAATATCTTGCTTGCAAACACGTATCGTAGGTTGGAAGCTGTCGAAACTTGAAAGTGCTGAACAGCCCGACAAGGGTAGCTGTCGCCTTTTCCCCGCTTAACCATGGACCATCGGCGTCATGTAGGGTTTAGAAAGGGCATGATTGGCTGGTGTGGGAGATGCTCTTCTTGCAAGACCGGGTTGCCAGATGGGGATGGCTTGTGGGAAGATGGAACATGTCATACGGGGAAATGGTTATCTGATGATAGTAGTATGATATTTTCATACATTAATAACCATGCGAGGGCATCAAAGTGACGCAAGGGCAAGATTCGGCATGTGACATGTCCCCTGTGTCCGCAACGCAAAAACAACAGGAAACGTGCGTGTCCCTCAACAGTCATACCCCGAGGAGAGCATCATGGTTTGGCGCCGGGCCAGTATTTCTCACGGCAACCGCGGCAGCTGGGAACACAACAGCGAACATGGCTTGCCTCTCGTCTCTCCGACGGGCAGACAGATCCGACAGAAGCCGGATGAGTCTTGGTGGCCACCAGCTTCCATGTAGCTTCCAGGCACCAGTAGCCTATCCCGGACAAGATCCGGGTCTGAAAGCCACGAGACGCGCTTGACGTCACGGCATATTGATATTTTGCCTCTAAACACGTAGACGTGTAGCTCTCGGCAGTGGCGACGACGTGGACGAGCGCGCCGCGATGGACGATTGCCCAGCAAGATCGTCAGTTGATCTCTGGCGATGGGAAACGCCAAAAAAGACATGGCCAACTCAGCTTGGACTCTTGGAGCAATGGGGAAACTCCAGCCGAGACTCACTTGACCCAGAGTAGCAACACTAAGCCGACGGGCCGCATGAGCATGAGCAATCCACCAGTGGCGAAGCCATGATTACGCACCGCGTGGACAGCAGAGGCAGAGATCGAGGCAGATGACAAAGGAGGACGTGCCTAGCCGCCCGTCACTGATAGGCAGAAAAAGACCGCAAGATGCGTACGATCATGTTGGCCGCCTTGGTCCGATCCCAGGCAAAGCCCGCCCCCAACAGCTGAATGGCGGGACAGAACCTGTGACCCAAAGCCATGGGTGTTTGGCAGCTGTTATCAAACACACGAGGCTGAGGATTCCATGCTATTGTCCCTGGGGGGCGCAAGTGATGTGTCAAAAAATTGAAAAGAGATATGCCGGCCGGGGGCTGAATACCACCGACTCGGCGGGGAAGAGAGTCAATCGAGGCAAAAATGCCGAGGCAAGCAACGTGAGCCATTGATGATATTGGTGCTTTGCCGCAGGAGGCGACGCCGAGGGCGCTCGCACTGGCGAGGCAACAAAGAGCGCAAAGGCGGGCTGACAAAGGGGGAAAGATAAAAAAAAAATACACCAGACTCAACTGTGTAGCTGCAGAGAGGAAACCGCCAAAGAGGCCCATGCGAGAGGAGAGCCGGCGATCTGTCCGTGAGGAGCAAGTCGAGCCGCTGAGGGCAGATACGAGGAGCAAAACAAAGCCAAGGACTTTTTTTTTTTG